GTGAGTGGCCGTCCAGAAGCTGGCGACTGATCTGCCTCATCCGGGAAGAGCGCAATGATGGTGCCAACTTGGGCCAGTGAAGCAACGTCCTCCACGACTTGACTGAAGAACAAAAGGACAGCAACTTGTCTGTTCCCCTTCCCCCAATTCCCCAGCACTGTTCCCATCCCCCCAATTCCCCAATAAAGATCTTTAAAAACAAAACAAAAAAACAAACAAACAAAAAGATGGTGTGTCCTCATCCACCTTCTTCACCGGATCTGGCACAATGCGATTTCTGGCTCTTGGGGGACCAAGTTGCGATTTCTTGGGGGACCAAGTCAAAATGATTCAGGACATCAAGGCAGCCATGACAGCGCAACTAAAGACAATCACAAAAGAGGACTTCCAGAACTGCTTTAGAAAGTGGCAAGAATGGGATAAGTGTGTTCAAAGCAAGGGGGAATATTTTGAGGGGGGTTAATGACAATGTGTCTTTTACAGTAATAAATTTTTTATTTATTAAAGGTTCACCATATTGTTTGATCACACCTCGTACATCTGCTAAGACTGCTGTATAGGCTGAGGAAGATTAATAGTGTGGTTTTTGAAATGCAACTGGGTTTAACAGTGAAGTGGCGAGAAGAGATAAAATATCATACCTATCACTTCTGTGGAAAAGGAAAAATAAAATGTCAAAACTCATAGCATTTATTGTTAAAATTATGATTAACAAATTAAGATGACTTTGGGGGCCCTACCACATTAACATAAAGGCCAGAACATGAGCATCACAAGTTCAGCAAGAGGACCCTAGCAGTCAAAAAGCAAGATCTAGCTCAGGGTTTGGTAACATTTTTTGTCAAGAGCCAGACAGTAAAAATTTGAGGCTTCACAGGGTATGTGGATCTTTGTCACAACTATTCCACTCCACTGCTATAGCACGAAAGCAATCATAAATACTATGTAAATTAATGAGGCATGACTATGTTCCAATAAACTTTACAAAAAACAGTGGCAGAGCAGACTTGGCCTGAAGGTCATAGTTTGTCATTCCCTGATCTAGCTAATAAACAAACTCCAAATCAACTGTGTACTCCAAACCCCTCAAAAACCCTGTGTCTTGCAACTAAACTAAGCCCAGTTAAAAAATCTGAACCACTTCCCTTTACAGAAGATAACTGAATGGCAGTGGTAGGAAAAGAACAAAGGGGCAATAAAACAGCATGTTGAAAAATCTCTTTTCCTTCCTTAATTTCATTATTCTGTCAATCACATCAACTAGAATTTAGCCTATAATCCTGACCTGCAAGGTGCTGAGGAATGCTGGACACTGTGCTGCCCAACTATATCCATTTGTAGGACGTTTCTCTAGTTTAGAAGTTGGCTCACAGTTGAAGCATTGGTCAAATAACCCAGGCAGTAGCTAACTCTATCAGGCTCTTGATATCTCACCTTCAAATCTGCCTTAGACCCAATGATTTAACACTTGGCAGCACAGGCAAAAGGATGGATATAGACAGGAGAGAGGGAGGGCGGGAGGGAAGGAGGAAGACCCAATTCCAGTTGGTTTAGGTTATAACTTCACCTCTCATCTAATATCTCTATCAAACAGTCTTCTCATTATAATTGGGAAACCTCACCTTCCCAACAACTCCCTTGTTCCCACCATCTTTATTAACCGCATCTCCTAGGTTTTACCTACCCTTACAATTTTTCAGCATTCCAAACCACCTGACCTTATAGAAGCACAGCTCTATTACCGATCTACCGAAAACAATCAGATAAATGTTGAAGGAACAAAAGTGCCAGACAGTCCAAGGTGTTTCCTGTGTAGTTTCCTGTACTTAAACCTTAGGAAAGATTTCCGTCCCTCCACTAAAATCCATGTCTTTCCTCTGTTTGGAGGAGGAGAACCTCATTTGATAGCAAAAATAGCCTCACCTTCATTTTGGCCTCTTACCATTAGCTAAGTCTGTTTTGCCATCTGTGCTGCTCCCTTTGTTGGACATCTTGAATGATGTTTATTGTAGCCAGCCTGGATTTGGAAGAGGAAGAAAATGAAAATTAGGGAACAATCTGGAAAAGATGATAAAAGGGACACGGAGCTTTAACAATGTACAGCCTTTGTAATTTTCATAAAAATGATTTTTGTGTGTGCTCAACAGGGCTTCTCAGCTGCTGAAAATCATACCACATTTCTCCCTTTCCCATGTCTAAATTCCATAAACAGACATATCTTTGGGAAATCAACTGCAATCTCTTTACCTTACTCACTGAGTAACTGGCAGTGTTTTTTCAGAAGGGAAAGAGGGAACTGAAAGGTTTTATACCTGGATCACCAGGCATATATCAAGTGACAGGTACTGCAGGCAGAGAGCCTTAATACAAAAAGCTAGCTTCAGCATTGCCCTCTAGGCAAAAATCTTCTCCTATAAATATCAGTCATATGTATCCAAAACCTCTATAAAACACTGTCTTCACAACATGAAGAGGTGGGTCAGACTCTTCTTATCACTTCACACACAAACCAACACATGAAAGAAATCAAGCTCATAAGGTAAGAGCTTGGGCTTTATGTTCACTCAGATGCCTAGCGTCAAACTTATAGACGCAGATATAACCTATCATAAGAAGGGGAACTGAATTAGAACTCAGGAGCCCCCTACCTCTAAGAAAGAACATAAAAGGATTTCTTTTACCGTCGTATGACTAGTAATAGTCACCAAGTGCAAAGCTGGAGAAGAAAAGGGCAACATTTCCATTAAACCATCTCAGTCCATTTTGTAAAATGACAAACATTATTTCACCTAATTCCACCAACTTTCACCAGACTTGTCTTTTTGGCAAAGCCCTAAGTAGGAATCAGGATACCTAGCTTTTTTTCTTTTATACCATTGTAACACGTTATTTTTCCAGGGCCTCACCCCACCTCGAGCAAATTCCAAAGAGCAAAGAAAAGTATTCAGACCAGAATTTTGTTAAGCCCTTTCAGTGCCTTGGACAAAAGGCACTGGTAAAAGACAAAGTATGATTATGACTCCAGCCCTCATACCCAGGCAACTGGCCTCTAATCTTTCAACAGTCCTTTCATTCTCATAACAACTATCCCAGAAGCAGCCTCATCCTTATCCTTCCCCTCTACTCGCCTCTACAGAAATCCAAGTTGCTTTAAAAAAAGTATCCTCTGCCAAGAGACAGCTGCCCAAAGCTTGCTCATAGTAGGCCAGGGCGGGGGAGTGGAAATAATGCAAGAGCAGGACTGAAGGCTGAGTTTGAGGGAAGGACACCTGGAAGGGTGATGACGAAAGACACAGCCAATAAAAAACAGATTTGTGAAGCCATATAAAAGGAAAACAGTAGAGCAGGCTGTTTTCCTCCTACTTTGATGATATATTTTTGTACAGCATTCTTCACACTGCACTTATTTTTCCCTCTTAGGAGTCCCTGTTTTCATTCTTTAGTATCTCAGCAGTATCTTCTTCCTTGCCTAGGGTTTTAAATTAATTACATTAATTGCAAAAGTGGGGGAAACAAATGCACTACTTTGTTAAGATTAAAAACTAAGGTCATAAGCATACCTTATGGTCAACTGAGAGTAGATCTGATGTTTCATCACCTCCAGAATCAAAACTGTCAACCATACCATATTTCCTACCCCACTATTATCCATTCCCGGAGAAGAATAAACCAGCTCCAGAGAACACTTCTCAAAACTTAATCATATCAACTTCTATAGAAGCCCAGACTGCCTAAACTTTAGACTCATATGGCTCTATAAAACACATTTGCGGGCAGGCAGAGTGATGCATTGGTTAAGAGCTGGCTTGGGACGCCAGCTCTGAGCAGCAGGGCCCCGGTTCGTATCCCACATGAGCCAGTGACGCTGCACCCTCTACAGCTAAGATGGTGAACAACAGCTCAACCAGGAGCTGGGCTGCTGTGAGCTGCCGGCGATGGCGTAGGCTGCAGTGGGGCTGCAGTGGGCTGCCGTGAGCTGCCGTGACCACTGTGAGCGGCTGTCCAATGGCCGGCAAGTGGCTGCCTCTGCCAGGAAGAGCACAATGATGGTGCCAACATGGGCCAGTGAAGCAATGTCCTCCACAACTAGACTGAAGAACAGAAGGACAGCAACTTGTCTGTTCCCCTTCCCCCAATTCCCCAGTGCTGTTCCCCTTCCCTGATTCCCCAACATTGTTCCTCTCCCCCAACTCCCCCAAAAAATCTTAAAAAACACACGTTTGCTTTCCCAGCCTCCATGACCAGGAGGAGCCAAAGCCTAGCATCCACTTAGCTCTGAGAAGTGGGCAAAAGAGGCTATGAGGTTAACCCATATCCAAAGGTTACAGACCTCATCTTTTGGGAAAATTGATTTAAGGTTCTTCCAAGAAGGGATCTTCTCTTTGAGGAAAAAAGCTGACCAGGCCTTTTGAGATTCTTTTGCTCGGCCCGCTCCAAACTCTTTGGAGTGTACTTTTTCTTCTAATAATGACACCCTGGCCCTGGCCCTGAGCCCCCTTGGGCCTTTTGAGCTTCCTTTGCTCAGTCCGCTCCAAACTCTTTGGAGTGTACTTTCTCTTCTAATAATGGCCCTTGAGCCACATTCTACTGCCCAGGCCTGCTTCTGTTTCTTTGAAATGTATTTGAAATGTATTTTTTCTTCTAATAAACTGTTCTTTTCTGCAACTTTTAAGAAGAAAAAAAAAGTTGACCGAATTTATTGCTAAATTCAGATACAGAGAAAAGCCTCTGAATACTTATGTCTAATCTGTTTAACCACTAAGTTGATAGGCAGATAGCTTCTAAAGGTCACATTTTAGGGGCCACAGAGTTTAGCAAATCAGTCCTAGACTGAAAATTCGAAGTCCAGAGTTCTAGTATCAGCCAATCCATTGCATATTTTGTGACCTTGCATGAGCTGCTTAATCTTCTCTGGACTTCATTTTCTTGTTTTGTAAAACAATATTAGTAAATCCAGAGATGGTAAAGATAAGTAGAATTACATGTTAAAACTTCTGCAGAAGGATGCTCTAGCGCAGTGGTCTCAAAACTGATAATCAACTCCTGTCAGTGAAAACTCTGAGCATGAACTTTCAATATGTGTGTATGTACAGACACACATTTAATCAAATCACATTAAATTGTAAGCTTAGTTTTTCTAGGAAAAATAGTAATTTCGACAATTCTTTTTCTATATTCCACTGGATCATCTTCCATATCCCTGGGGGGTGCATATATTCCTACTTCAGGGGACCACTTCTCTGGAAAGCCAAGAAATTATGACAATAATAAAATACAATTGCTTTGGGGATAAGCTGTTTGTTATTCTTACATAAACTTCACTCAAAATGAAGAAATATAAAATAATCTTTAACTCTAGGGCAGGAATTAAGAATAAGCACCCAAATTAAAGCAGGCTAAGATGCTATGATTGTGCCCTAGGTCTCAAGTATAGGAGCCACCCTAGAATCTCTCCCGTCACCAAAAAATACAGCCTTATTTTATAATCTGAGGTTAGGTGGCATACTTGACCCAACCGTAAACTATCTTCTTCATTTTTTAATGTCTATCTTCCCAACAAATTCAGTTTTTACCTTGATCAATTCCCATGCAAAATCTAGTCCAGAGCAAACCAATCTTAGTTTGGAAGAGCTGATGAGCTCACTGCCGGCAGGTAGCTGGGGGAGTTTACTTAGATTAGCTCTACTGCCTGTACTCTAAAAATAACCACAATCCCTGCCAAACTGAAGGTTAAAGAGTAAACTACTGAGGGTTGGGGAGAAAAGACCCAGGTGTTACTTAAATTTCTACCTAAGAAATTACCGTGATCTATATTTTTCTTGTCTTAATTAAGAAAAAGGCCTTAAATTTTTAACCAAATACATGACAAAATATTAACTAAAAACCAAGCACAGGGAGAGTACTTTGTCAAAGAGGTACCAAGTGTCTCCTGTTTAAAACCACTGGAACTGCTTCCTTTTCCTAATACTGATGAAAGATTTATACAAGAGACCATGTATACTAGGACAATAGGACATCCAAATGCAAAATATATAAAAAGAAACTTGACTCCTACGTTTGTACAATATACAAAAACTAACTCAAAATGGATCATAGACCTAAATGTAAAAGCTAAAACCATACAACTTCCAGAATGATACAAAGGAGATAATCTTTGTGACATGGGTTAGGCAAATATTTCTTAGGATAAAACACAAAAAGCACAAACCATGAAAGAAAAAATTAATTAACTGGACATATCAAAATTTAAAATCTACTCTCTAAGAGACACTGTTAAGAAGATGAAAAGACAAGTTACAGACTGGAAGAAAATATCTGCAAAAGACCTATTTAATTAAGGACAGCAACCAGAACATATTTAAAATCTCTTATAACTAAATAACAAGCACTTGAAAAGACGCTCAACATTATTAGTCATTAGAGAAATACAAAGTAAAACCACAATGAGAATCCTCTACACACCTATCAGAATGGCTAAAATTTTAGAAATAATGATAATGAAAGCTTACTTTATCAAGTGCTAACAAGGAATAGAGCCACTAGAACTCTCATACACTGTTGGCATGGCAGAAAGGCAAAACGGTGGTCACTTTGAAAAACAGTCTGGCAGTTTCTTATAAAGGTCAACATACACTTACCATACAACCCAGTAATCCCACTCAGGTATGTACTAAAAATGAAAATATTGGTTGTAGGAAAAGTCATTATGTATTTTTTTCTGTTTTTTGTTGCAAAAATGAGTCATGACTTTTCTGACAACCCAATATATGTCCATCCAGAAACCTGTAGGTGAATGTTTTAGTGTCTTTATTTAGTTTCATCAAAAACTGGAAACAAATGTTCTTCAGCTAGGTTCTAGATAAACAAATTGTGGTCCATCTACACAATGGAATACTATTGAGCAATAAAAAGGAATGAACTATTGATACACATATCAACACACACCGATCTCATTTTAATGCTAAGAGAAAGAAGCAAGATTCAAATAGCTATATAATACAACTCCATTTATAGGGCAGTCTAGAAAAGATAAACTATAGGGACAGAAAGTAGATTAGTGATTGCTGGGGGTGGGGGTCGGGGAAGGGAATTACTACAAGTGGGCATGAGAAAACTTTTTGCAATGATGAATATGTTCTATGCCTCAAGCATGGTGGTGTTGCATGGCTATGCATGTCAGAATCCATAAAATAGGTCACTGAGAAAAAGGTAAATTTTACTGTATGTAAATATATCTCAACAAATCTGGCCAAAAAAAAAAAGAGAATGAGAGAAGGCGAGGAGGAGGGAGAAATCACGACAAGTATTAAACGACAGATAAAATCCAATTAAAAATACTAAAATTTCAAGGTTGTGACTATTAATAGAAGTTAGTTAAAGTGGTCAATATGCTACAGTAAATGAGAGCAAAATGTCAGGTCATCTTGCTTGAAAATGGAAGTGCAGGATTTTTGTTGCAACCCAAGCTTCCTGTGTGATTTAGCGACAACCATGTTTGAGGCAAGATGAATCCTAAACTCATAGTCTCCAACCCTACTGTCTTGACAACTAAAAATATCAACTTAAAGTAGTTCAAAGTAATTCTAATGGTTGTACTATTAATTGGTATACTTATGCTTTTCATTTGTATTTTTAAAATTCTCTCAAGTTCATCTTAACTCCTCTGGAGTGTACAGTCTACTATGAAAACTGATAACTCTACCTTATCTCATGCCCCATGGAAACTTCATCATCTAAATATTTGTCCTTGATACCTTTACTAAGATGTGAACTCACTCTTAGTAAGCTCCCATGAGTTACATAATCCCAGACTCTCTCCAGCCAGTGCAGCAGTCTTGTTTGGCAGGCCTTCAGTCTGCAACTTGAGCGCCTAGCTCTCCTACATAGCTACCCATACTTACGTGAGACAAAGTTTTAGAATTTCTTCTGAAACTGAACGGTAGACAATGCTTGAATTATTAGTAAGACAGATATCTGAGAGGCACACAGTCCCCAGCTCCTCTTCAAAGGATAGATGTCCCATACCTCTCATAAATGAACAGCTGCTCCAGGCTGATCTCCATCCAAACTACAAATTTCCTTTTCACTCCTAAGTCCCATAGGCCATCTGGAATCAACCAGTCCTACTTTCCCCATCCACAATTTTTGTTTTCAAGCTGAAGTGGCTCATTTTAAATTCATTCCCCCTATCTTACTATTTTTCTACTTCATAATAAACACTTCTTCAAGCCAACTTTCCTGACTCTTGCCACTAGCCACTTGCCAGCTTCTTATTTATGGTATTGATTTCCTCTGGGTACCCAGCCACTCTAATACAGTGTTTATTAATCAGACAGAGACCTTCAGGCACTGAAATTCAAAGGATGACCCCCAGGAAGCTGAAACTCATACTACATAAAACATGTTTATAGGGGGGCAGGCCTTTAGTCGTGGGCCACTCTCAAGTACTTGGGGGAGTTATATATACTACACTGTCTTCTCTGATAAACTGGAGAGGGGAGCAGAAAGAAACTATGAATGCTTTTGGATCAGGAAAATTAATCTCTATTCCTGTTGTGCAGAAGATTTGACAACACAGGGCAACCCAACTGTACAGTTGCTCTAGCCTCCCTCATTTATCCAAATTACAGGCATCTGGCACCACCCGGTGGCCCACCTGTATACAGACATGCTATTAATACAACAATGGTACAAGGCAATACAGGAGCTACAAATATGAATGAGGCAGTCACCATTCCTTTTGTAGCCAATAATAATCAATTAGGAAAAATGAGTATACAACTAACATGATACAAGACATACGATTATCAGTATCATTAAAAATACACACACACACACACACACACACACATAAATAGAATGCAGTTGCAGTTGAACAGAGGAAAGGATTATATTTAGTTTCAGGGAGAAAGGAAAAGTTTCCATGGAGAAATTAGTTTTTAAGCTGGGTTCTGATGGATAGGATTTTAATGGGTAGAGTTGAGAAAGACATTCTACCGGGACCAGAATGAGAAAAGATGTGGAAGATGAAAACCTAATATGTTCAAGAAAATACATGGGTAGTCTGGTTTGGCTAGATGGTGGGGCATAACTGCTTAGTTAAGTAAGTAGGTGTGTGTTAGGCATCAGGAAGATTATTTTGTCAAAGATAATAAATAAGGTGGACTGAAATGGACAGAAAAGGAAGGAGACACAAGTTTAAAAGCTATCATAGGGGCAGGCCAAGTGGCTCAGTTGGTTAAGAGCTGGCTTGAGACACCAGAGGGCCCCAGTTTGGATCCCACATATGAGGGCCAGTGACACTGCCCTCCACAGCTAAGATGTTGAACAACAGCTCAACCTGGAGCTGGGCTGCCGTGAGTCGTCGGCGACAGCGTAGGCTGCAGCCCCTGCTGCAGTGGGTTGCCATGGGC